CTGAGCAAGACCGAGACCCCATCTTTACTTAAAAAAAAAAAGAAAAGAAAATAGTAGCAAGGTCATAGTGTCATACACCTGTAGTTCCAGCTACTTGGGAGGCTAAGGCAAGAGAATCACTTAAGCCCAAGAGTTTGAGGTTGCTGTGAGCTATGATGCCCTGGCACTTTACCGAGGGCAACATAGTAAGACTCTGTCTCAAAAAACTAAATAGATAGATAAATAATAGAAAAATTAGTCAGATGTTGTGGTGGGTACCTGTAGTCCCAGGTATGTGGGAGGCTGAGGCAAGAGGATTGCTGAAGCCCAAGAGTTTGAGGTTGCTGTGAGCTGTGATGATGACAGCACTCAACCCAGGGTGACAGGGTGTGACTATCTCAAAAAAAAAAAAAAAAAAGTCCTTGATTCTTGGGCCCTGCAACCATGTTCTGCTTCAAGCCTTACTGTTTGTCCCATTTGATCGACTTACTAAAATATCAGAAATAGGAGACAGTTGCAGCAGACTCATGACCCCTGCCCCGGAGTGAGCAGAGTGGTGGGAACGGAGCAGACTGTCACTCTAGAGAGGAGGAAGTGGTGAGAGCAACACGTCCTCAGGACGGCTTTCTGTCCACTTGGTGTCTGTGTCCTCAATACGGCTTTCTGTCCACTTGGTGTCTGTGTCCTCCAGACGGCTTCCTGTCCACTTGGTGTCTGTGTCCTCGAGATGGGTTTCTGTCCACTTGGTGTCTGTGTCCTCAGGACGTCTTTCTGTCGACTTGGTGTCTGTCCTCGATACAGCTTTCTGTCCACTTGGTGTCTGGTGGACGCTGATGTATTGTGCTTAATCTTTACAAATTTTATAAAAGGGAAGGTTTGCTGGGTGCGCTGCCTGTAGTCCCAGCTACTTGGGAAGCTTAGGCAAGAAAATTGCTTGAGCCCAAGAATTTGAGGTTGCTGTGCTTTATGACAGCACGGCACTCTACCCACAGTGACAAAGTGAGACCGACTCAAGAAATAAAATAACGTTCTCTTGGTGCCATCCTGGCACGTGTCCTTTCTCTGACCAGCCGTAGCAGTGAAGCGCTGATAGCAGTGCTGTTCCCAGGTATGTTCCCCTTTCACCCTCTGCTTTGTGTTCCCCTGATCTGCAGTGCACACAGCAAGCGCACCCCCTGCCCTTGACATTCTGCCGTGAATTGGCTGGAGTTC